AATTTGATTTGAAGATTTAAAATCAAATAATCAAATCAAATTCAAATCTAGTTTTTTAAATCAAATCAAATTCAAATACAGATTTTTAAATCAATTCAAATTCAAATAAGCCTAATACAGTATTTGATTTGATTTAATTTTGAGGAACCCTAGTAAAGAGTCTTTTTTTAATCATTTTTAAGAATAGTTTGTTATTTTTATAAGTATTCTAGAATCAAGTATATTTTGAGATATCAAACTTGAAGAGGTAGATTCAGTTGAATTAATAAACTATTCAAATGTATTTTTTTTATTCATTGAATAGTGAAATTTAGATTTAAAAAAAATGAAATATATAAAAAAAAAAAATCACATATTTATATCAAAAAAAAAATCAAAAAACTAATTATTGTTATATCTTGCAACAATAAATTAATTTTTTAATTTAAAAAAAATCTCTGAAAAACTGATTTTGTTCATTATAATGATAGTAATTAAAAGTTTATTACAAATCAAGATTAATTGTCATTATCACTCCACAATAAATCAATTTTAATTTAAAAAAATCAGACAAATGATTTTGTTTATAATAATAGCAATTAAAAGTCTAAAGTTTATATTAATTACAAATCACAAGCATTTTGCTTATCTGATCGATTTCAAACTTGGTTTGAGCATGAGGAGTTTAAATTTAATAATAAAAAATCGTGTGACTACAAAAACTCAAGTTCTATCAAGTTTAGACCCAAACAGGAGCCGAACCAAATTTAGGCAAACAGGATAACATCCCTAATTAAATTATCCAAAATAGACTTGTTTATCAAAAGTTATTTAATATTAAAATATTTATATAGTAATTCTAAAATTACAAAATTATACAAAATTTAAATTATCTCAAGATCCTGTAATTGGATTTTAGCAATTTTGAACTTGTTAAAATCATTTATTAAGCTAAACACAGATTAAAATAAAGTATATCAGGTCTATATTAGCAGTTTTTAATACCAATATGAACCCAATATCTTACCAAACTTTGGCTTAAATTGAACATCTATCAGGATTATATCAACATTAATGCATATCGACATACTGATAGCTCTATAGGCTTGCTAATAGCTCTATCAACACACCTATAAAGCTATCGATATGCCGATATGCCAAAATGCATTAATACTGATATAACACTAATAGATGTCCGATTTAAACCAAAATTTGGTAAGATATCAGGTCTATATCTGTATTAAAACATACTGATATGATCCCAATATATTTTATTTCAACCTGTAAAACATTTTGGTAGTTAAATCATTTAAAATGAATTAGTAAATCAAAAGTTATCACCAATTCCACAAATCAGCCTATATGTTAATATCAACCTAAACCACAAAACCAATTTTCATAAATTTTTATATATCAAAATTCCCTCATATATATCAACTTTAATGATTTCTCATTAATATCACTATTAACATGATTTAAAACCAATTCAAATAGGTTGATATTAACGAAAGTAATCTGTAATATCAATTTTTAGTCAAAAAATACCAAAAGCAAAGTTATATTAACTTCATGTTGTATACAATTATGCTAATTTTAATAGTTAAATAAAGCTAGAACGAGACGGGACAAAGTCAAAAAATCTAGAAGTCAATGTACAACACTAGACACGAGCACGATGTATTTTAATGATGCTGCTCTTAATAATGGGGCTAGAGGGTTAAAAATTCAAATGTCATTGCCATGATCTGAATATCACCTAATTTTAACCCCCACTAACTGCTCTAAATTTTTTTGATAAAAAGAAAAATAAATCAGTAAATAAATTCATATCACTAATAGACTTGTCATAATATGCATCTATATATTTATATATATTTTTTTACAATAGAAATTACATATTAAAAATGTACAAGTTAATAATACTTGCGTGCTTTATATAAATGATACTAGCATTGACAAACATCCTTTTGTACATTATATTAACGATTAAAATGTCGAAAGACTTCTACTTATTACAAAACCAAGGTTCCGATAAATTATACTCACGATTAATGGAGCCATAAAAATTTAATATATACTCATATTTGACTGTGTGGAATTCTTTTTTTCGCCGTTGGAGAGGGACGGTTAGTTGGTTTGGAGCCTGTGACTTCTGTTCTACGCTGTTTTTTGAGTTGTCCAAGTGGCACCGTCTCTGAGTCAATACTATCTATATAATGCTTTTTCGAAGCAGTCGATGACGACGCAGACGAACTAATCTCAGCTTGTGGCGATGCCAACTTTCCAGTCTTAGAGTTGGTTGACTTTTTCTTTTTAGGTTCTGCTTTCTTTGCTTCAGCTTCCGCTTTCTTGTGGGCCTCTTGCTCTAATTTCTTTGCTTCCTTGGCCTCTTGAGCACGTCGTTTCTGATGCTCAATTTCTGCTTTTCGAGCCTCTTTAGCTTCCGCCTCTGCCTTTTTTGCAGCTTCTTTTTCTAATTGTTTCTGCCGCTTTTGTTCATTTTTTTCAGCTTTTTTTCTTTCACGTTCTTCCAATTTAAGAAGTCTATTTCTTTCCTTCTCTTTTGCAATCGCCGCATCTCGTTCTTTCTTCTTCTTTTTTTCTGCAAGAGCAGCAGCGGATTGGGCGCTGGATTTTTGCAGCTGCCTTCTAGGTTGTGGAGGGATTTTGCCCGTAGGAGGTACACGAGGCCTTTGATTTCGGTGTTTAGCGGGAAGATTTTCATCCTAAACAGAACGTTAATGTTAAATATGGAAGCTTATAATTATTTCTTTATTATTTTAATTTACCTCAATTATTTGGTCGTTCATAGAGTCATTTTTTTTGTTACGGAAAAAGTCTCGTAATAAACCAATTTGACTCTCCGGATCTGTTATCGGTGCCCATGGTGGTGGAGGAACATGACGAGGTACTACGCATTATATGCAAAAAGTTATAAATTTTTGTATAGTACCAAAAGAAATTACATAAAAAAAAAAAACACACATTTTCGTTCATTTTGTTCTGAAGCTTTTTTAGGTAAAGGTTTTATTCTTTTCGATCCAAGAATTAACTGTGGAGGAACCTAATTGTGTCGATTTTAGAATAAAACATGCTGTTTACTACATATATTTTTATTAAAATATATTTAGCAATTTAAATTTTACCTGTAAAGAACCTAAACCTAGTTCCTTGAATCCAAAGAAATCATCTTGTAATTCTCCGCCAAACACACCCCTAAATAAATGAATAAAATAAAAATAAAAATAAAATAAATAAAAAATAAATAAAGAAAAATGCTATCATTCATTGATTTTTAAATTAAGTTCCTAGATAGTCGATATAAAGAATACGTACGTTAAAAATGCATCATCATTATCAGGGATGTCATCTACGATTTCCTCAGGTTGCTGCTAAATGTTTATAAATAACGGATTGCAATAAAATTATAATGGACAATGAAGAGTTTAAAGATTATTACCAATAATGCAGCCTCCAATCGGCGCTTAATATCTTGTAGTTTCGTGCCATAACGCTGAATATCATCATGGATATATGACTCAAGATTCTTTACGGATGAAACACCATTCTCATACAATGTGTGATTGATCATTTCCTAATAGACATAGTAAATTTAATAATAAAAATAATCAATAAAAGTTTATCACTATTTAAAGGTTAAATAATCTATATATTCTACCTCGGGAGTCATCTTCTTACTATAATCATCCATATATGCGCGTAAAGTTTTACTCAAGTTCAAGAAGTAATCTTGAGCGACTTCAGTTAAAATGGTCAAAGCCCTACTAGAAGTTGCTATTGAGTAGATAATAATAGCGGATAAGATAAGAATCACATAAAAATAAAGATATTTAAAAACTTTAACTTACCTTCAAATCCTGCGTGTTGACACAACCTAGAAACAACGCGTTGCATACAGGCAAAACCGGTATCTTTATTCAAGATAAGGGGCGGTAGATCCTTTTGGTCAATTGTAGAATTAATTATTGGCGTATCTTCTAGAGACTTTTCTGAAATACCAAGATGACTCAACTAAAAAACAATGTACATAACGTGAAACGCAAATTTTACGAAAAAAGAATAATAATAATTATCATAATACGAGGTTTACCGGAATATTATGCGTCGCAGACACAAGTTTGGCATGAAGAATACGAGATTGTTTAAGAGTCTCGATGTTTTTCTCGATCATTGCACTAGTACCCTGTTTCGGGAATTGAAGTTGGGGATATTGATCAAGAGTTGGTAGATTGGCACTATTTGAATAAAGAAAATAAGATATTATAATATGTTTCTCATAATAAAAATTAAATACAACATAAAAAATACCTTGGATCATAGTCTGGATCAAAAAATTTATCCCGATTTGGGTTATCTAGTTCAGGATCCCATAAATCCCATAATGGCAACGTAGGAATCAATCTTATGTTTTTTAGCATTTCTTGAACCTCACGGTCAGCTTCTTTTTCTTCTTCATCATCTGATGAATTCTCTTGGGACGCTTGAGAGTGCCCAGTTGTGTCTGCAATTTGAGCATCTTCTGCTACAACATCAGTACCCGGCGGTTCATCTTCCGTAATAGAATAACATTTCAATAACTTTTAATGTGTCACAGAATAAAATAGTAGAGAACTATCGCTACCTTCTACTTGCAAAGAAGCGCTCGAGACACTTTCAGTATGTTGATCTAATGATGGAGATTTTTTTTCCACCTTAAATAATTCTCCACAATCTTGTTTCAAACTTGCTTTATATTCTGCAAGAGTCTGAATTTTAACATCCGGAACAGCTTCAAGAAGCTCATCCATCTTTTCTTTCATGGCTATGGCGTACTTTCGAAAAATATTTTCCTGTTTGTTTATCAAAGATGACTTGATCGTATGAACTATAGCAAATTAAATCGTAATATATTTCTATAAAATTCTTACTGGATGTGTATTATAGGTGATACAATTCGTATATATTAAATAAAGGTCGTTTGCAAATTCTTCTTTACTGTTGTAAGCGCGATTTTTTAATTTTTTAGCGATCGTTCCAAGATCCATAGGATTCTTTATAACTGAACATAAATAAATTTAAATCAATAACAATAATCATAAAAACCATCTATATAATGCTTTTTCGAAGCAGTCGATGACGACGCAGACGAACTAATCTCAGCTTGTGGCGAT